CCACTTGGCATTTGTTTATTGGCACCTGCCGTGTGCCAGGTCTGCTCCATTGGTGAACAAGACAGGCCTCTGGGATTTACATCTTAGAAGGGGAACTGGTAAAAATAAGTAAGTACATAAGTAAGATCATTCCAGAAAGTGCTAAGTACCAGGAAGTAAATAAAAAAGGGCTGATATGACAGAGTCAAGGGGGTGGCGACACTGGAGCTGGCTCGTGTCACTAGGTCAAAGTTGGTCGGGAACCTCTGGGGTAAAGAAGGAAGCCCGAGAGCGCAGCTTGAATCAAGTTTGCTGTGACCTTGGTCCAGCTACTTCACCCTGGGCCTCAATTTCCCCATCTGTAACATGCAGACAAAAGCATCTCTCCGTGGCGTAGTGGTGAGAATTTAATGAGAATTTAATTTATAGGCAACACGCTTCCCATGTAGGCATTAAGTAAATTAGAATTTTTAAACTCTATAAAAATAGACAATGTCCATCAAAGGACTAATGATAAATGACATCTCAGGAGAACCGCCTGCAGGGTCGCGGGAGCTCGTGGCTGGGAAGGCGACTGCTTTGCCACCTGGCCCATGGGAGGATGCTTGAGTGTTTGGTGTTCAGGTTCTGTCCCTGCCACTTGCTGGTACCACCCAGCCCGTGACCCTGGGGTGTCTCAGAACCAGCTGGAGGACCCCCACACTCTCCCACCTTGAGTCGATACCCAGGCCCCCACATCCGGTCACCTGCCGTTCCTGTCCTTGGGGACAGCCTGGGGACAGGAGAGGGTGGTGTCCATTTCCCAGGTCAGACCCGAAGGTGAGGAGCCCAGGTCCCTCCCCCGGGCAGGGGTCAGTGCCAGCTTATTTCCATGATGACAGCATGTTGGTCTGGTTGCTTTTTGTTTTTTCACTTTTTATCTGGAAATAATTCTAGCCTTACAAAGAGTCCCAGCCGGCGCCCCCTCGTGCCAGCATGGGACATGACCGTGGTACAGTGGTGAAAAGGAAAGCACATGTGTGCGTCACCCGGAGTCTGGGGAGGCAGGGCAAAGCTCGGGGAGCCCCAGAGATTTCCTCCGGCCCCTTTGAAGCCACTTGCCGTCCAGTTTTTCACCGTCTCCCACAAGGAATTGTTCCCGCCCCTCCCTTCTCTCCACTGACAACTGGGGAGCTGACGCCCCAGCCGGGGGGTTCATTTCCCAGCACACAGGGCCAGGCCGGCCCGCCACCCTAGCTCCCCACCCCCACCCACGCTGTCCCCACACCATGACACTGCGTTTGCTAGAGGCAGTGAGGATTTACCTGGGGGCCCACTCTCCGGCAGGCTGGGACATGGCATCTCAGAGCCACAGAGTGGCAGAGGGTGGCAAACTCCTTCTTGCTCTTTCCTGTCTCCTGGAGGAAACCCATGGCGAAGAGGCTCCCTGCGCCCCCTTATGTCAAATAAAGGTCTCGGGAGAGCTGCCTGCTGAGCAGCACCCCTCTGACCACCACAGCGAGGACCCCACACCTGAGAGGACGTGGAAAACGGGGCCCAGGGACTCAGGGTGAGAGCCAAGGTCCTCCTGAGTGCCACCAAGTCTCTCCTGACTATCTCTAAGTTCAATGGTGCCAGTGAGGCTCAGAGAGACCAGGCCACACAGCCCATAGGTGACAGAGCTAGATATGCGGGACAGGCCAGCTACTAGGTTGTTCCCAAATACACTCCATCATTTCCTGCCCTGTGAACCCCACCCGCTGTCCCTTCCCCTCGGCTTTTGCTATGGGACCCTGCATCTGCTTACAGGACTCTGTCAAATGCCACCTTCCCTCTGAAGGTTTTGCTGCTGCATAGAAGGGGCCTCTCCCTATGGCGGTGAAGTCTCCGTGCCTCTCTCAGCCTTTCACAAACACACGTGGCCCCTCAGTGCCAGGCACTGAGCCAGGGGCAGGATGGAGCAGTGAGCACAGCCAGCGGGCTCTGGAGCTCTATGTTCCAGTGGGGGAGGCAGACAACAAGGAATGTACAAGAAATACTCAACAGTGCTTCGAGGGTGTAAGGGCCGTGAATATACTAAAAGGCGGTGCCAGCTCAGAGCATTGCTGCTTTTGCCAGAGTAGTCAGAGAAGGCCCAATGGAGTGACGTGTGGGCCGAGACCAGGTGAGTGAGCAGGAGCTGGCCGTGAGAAAGTCTAGAGAGTGTACCAGCTGGGAGGAGCAGCAGGTGCAAAGGTCCTGAGGTGACAAGGCCCTCAGTATGCTTGAGACTTGGAGCATTTCCTGCCACATGTTGTATTCCTCCTGACTAGACCAGAAGCTCCTGTGGGGCAGGGACCATATCCTGCTCCCCTGTGCCTCCCTTCGCCTGGAGGCTCTGCAAAGTTACTTCTCTCTGGGCCCTAGATTTTCCTTCTGTAAAATGGGGATGATAGGTCCCAGTTTCTTGAGTGACTGTGATGATCAGTGAGGAGCTGTGTAAGGCAGAGCTCAGCTTACTCTGAGTACCTGTGTGCACTCATGCCTCTGAGCTGTGTGGAGATGTCACTTGCTCAGGGTCCTCCAGGCTCCTGCTCTGTCCCCCTGAGGATGTAGAGCACACAGTTTCTTGAACCTGGCTGCTCACCAGAACCACCTTCTAACAAAATAACTCATCCCTTTCTCAGGCCTCCTAAGCCAGAAATTCCAAGGCAAGGCCTGGGAGTCTGTGTCTTCTTAGATTCTGCTGGTGACTCTGAGGGCAGGTGGGGAACAACCAGACAGGTGGCCAAGAAAGAGCTCAGTTGAGGGCACAGCCCTGAGTCTGAATCCTGGCTGCTTTCTACAAGTGGTATGACCTTGTAAAAATTGCTGGGCTCTGAGCCTGGTTTTCCTCACCTGTAGAGTGGAAATAATAATAAAGTGCACATTATAGGATCAGTGCCAGAGTTAAATAAGATATCGCATATAAAGTGCTTAAAATAGTGACTGGCAAGTGATAAACATTCAGAAGATCAGCATTGCTATTATAATTGTCATACTACTACTAATCCATGGGCTGCGTGGCATCATGAAGTGAAAGATACGGTAGGCTCACCATTTCCCACCTCGCTTCGTCCGTCCATTCATTCATTCATTCATCCCCACACTCACTCATTCCATCACGCCAGGACTTCAGCAGCAGATGTGAGGACCAGGAGAAAGCCCGGGCAGGGGCCCAGCGTCGGGCCGTGGCCAGTTTCTCCTGCACTGCCCACCTCTGACTCACCTTTGTCATTTTCTTTTGCAGAATTCTCCACCCTGGTGGCTGAAAGCTAAGAGGCTCTGGCTGCCCCAGGTCTTCCGCCTCTCTACCCCCAGCCCCCCATCTCAGCCCCTTTGCTGCCCTCCTGCGTTTCTGTTCAGTTTGTTTATGTTATTTTTTACTCCACCCTGTCCTCCTTCGGCCCTCGGATGACACCATTCTTCTGGAAAATGCTGGAGAAACAATAAAGGCTGTACCCATTGGGTTCTGCTGCTTGAATGGATCCAGGAAAAGGGGTTGGGGGCAGGGTCCTGCCTTGGCTTTCCAGGTACACCATGAGGGGTGGGGGCAGGATATAGAAAGAAAAGATGGGATGGGAGAGAAATCTACTGAGCCCCTCCTCTGCATCTGTTACTGAGCGTGCCACTCCACATGGGTTGCCCATGAACCCTTGAAACCACCCCATAGGGAGGTGATGAAACTCCCATTTTACAGATCCTGAGAGAGGAAGTGACGAGTCTAAGCCCACACAACTAGGACTTGTGGATGGAAGGATGGATGGACGGACGGACAGATGGATGGATACCCGTTAAAACTCTTTGTTACAAATGACAAAAACCCAGCTCTAAGTGACTTAAGCAAAAAAGGAAGAAAAACAAAGACTTGATTGGTCATGTACCTAAATAGTCCAGGGGCAGTCCTTCAGGAACAGCTGGATCAAGGGACTCAAGTTTCATCAGGATCAAGTCCTTTCTCATCCCTGAGCACCGCTCTCCTATCTGCTGATTCCCTCACGGTAGCGAGATTCCCCCAGCAGCTCCAGGGCACATTCAGCAGCACCAGTAAACAGCAAGGAGCTTCCCTTTTCCACTCCCTCCCTCAGAAGGCCCCAAATTTAGTCCCATGAATAGCACTAGCTCCTGTCGACTGAGCACTTACTCTGTGCTGTGCCATTTCCATGATTCCATCTGCACAGCAGCTCTGCTATTATCCTCACTGTACAGATGAGAGAACTTAGGCCCAGAGGGTTAAATGTCTGCCCGAGACCACATCTCAAGTAAGCGGAGAGCCGGGACCTTAACTCCGGCAGCCACCTCCAGGGCCTGTGTCCCTCCCCAAACCAGTCGCAGATGGGGGCCCTGACTGACCCATTCTGGGGGCATCCACCTGTGGAGACAGTGGGGTCAGTCACACTGGGAGTTGGGGAGAATGTCCCAGTGGGAATGAGAGGTGGGGTTGGACGCTTGGTGGCAAACACAGTGGCAGCCCTGAGGGGGAGTTTCTGCTCTTTTCCACAATGGCCTTGGGGTGGGAACAGAAGCAGTGTTCTCCCACCTGTCTGCCTTCCAGACCCCATACAGAGGGTTCCCCTCAACCCTCTCCTTGGGCCTGAGGTGTCCCCCTGGCAGGGCCATCAGGGAAGGTGCTCCCTGAGGTCCAGGCCCCGAGTGGGCAACCTCATGGGGCATTCAGGCGGAGGGGCAGGTCTGGACAGACTACCTTCCCGGGGAGCAGTCAGCAGCCCCCGTGCGGGAGGGCCCTGGGGACCAGAACTGGACCAGAGCAGCAGCGGCCCGGAAGGGACACCCCGCTGTGGGCTCAGCTGGACTCAGGCCGGGGGAGCTGCGGGATGGTCTGCAAGAGGCGGTGGGTCTGGGCAGGCAGGCGGGAGTGGGGCACAGGCACGCACGCGCTTGTGACAACAGGCAGCACCAGGGTTGACCCAGGTTTTCTGTGGGGTCTCAGGAGGCTTAACTTCGGACATTGAGGACAGGGCGGGGCTGGGCCGCCAGAAAGTCTCCCCTGGAAACCAGTTCAGGGCCTGAGAGAAAGGCAGGTCAGGACAACGGTGACAGCTGCTGCTGCCCGCAGGCCCGCGTGGCCTTCGGTGTGCCCGGCCCCACGTCCCGGGGACAGCCCACACACTGCAGTCCCGGCTCAGGGTGGCGCGAGCGGCCGGCCCACTGTGCTTGAGAGCGGGGCGGCCGGGGGCACAGAACATTGGATCCAGGGCCCTCAGTTTGGGAAGAATTTACCTGGAGCCTGGGCAGGACAAGGTCAGGACAAGGTGGGGGCACCTTGTGGGGGAGGGAGGGAAACAGCAGTGTGGTCAGAGGGTGGATAAGGCAGGTGACACTGACACCAACAGTCGATCGCCAGCCCTCCTCCTGCCTCCCACGTAGCTCCCCATTCACAGTTCCCTCGCCCTTCCTCTGGCCACCACCACCAGATCCAGGCCCTGTCACAGCTCAGGTCGAGACTTCGGGCATCTCTTCAAATGAGGCGTGACCTCCGGTCACTGTGTAACTCAGCTTTGGCATCTTTATAGACTGGGTCCTTTACCACTGTATGGGGGTGACTTGGCTTCAGCCAGGCTCTGAGAGATGCCACTGGGAGCTGCCCCAGGCCCTGGACCAGCGTGTGGCCTCCTAGCCCCCGACCTCCCTCTCCCCCCTCCCCAGTCCTGGACTCTCTCCAAAACCCAGCTGGTCGCGTTGTTCCCCTGCTTAAAACTGCCCCACTATAGAATAAAATCATTCTATTGATTTATTATTTCATAATATATTTGTAATAAATGATAAGTCTTTTTATAGCATAAAAATCCAGGCCCAGCCTCCCTGTGCACTGGGCGGCCCAGCTCCCACCCAGCTTCCGTCACAACCTTCTCCCGCTGTGTCCCCTCCGTGCTGGTTCCTCAGCCGGGCCCTCTGCTCCCCTCGCCTCCCCACCCCTTTCCCCGGCTCGGTCCCTTCATCCTCAGCACAGCCAGAGTAGATGCCCCCACCTGGAGAGAGCCCCTGAACTCCCCCCACCCCTCGGTGAAATGGAGAAAGTGTGACAATCTAATTCGCAGCCACGTCTCCCAGGGATCATAAGATGCTCGAGGGCACATCTGCAGGGTGCCCTGCTGGATCCCAGAGCCCCCCACACCAAAGGCTGACGCATATGGCTGGGGGCTCGCTCAAGGCCACAAAAGAAGTGCGGAGCAGGACAGGGACCAGACCCCAACCTCCTGCTTCCCATCCCCCCCGTCCACACTCCCCTCTGTCTGCTCATCAGCTGAACAGTCCGCCCTTCTTCACTGTCCTGCTCAGAGGAGCCCCATTCATGCTCTCAGTCCCCTTTCGGTCTGGGGGAGGCTGGGAGCAGAGAGAGAGGGCACTGGGGCCAGGAGGAGCTGCACATCGGTTCCCGAGTGGCATTTGATAAGAGTGGGATCGGCCTGCCTGTGGGCAGGGGGCTGGATGGTGGGTGGGATGTCCCGGAGCAAGGAGAGGGTGCAGGTAAGTGAGGAAAGAGGGAGCGCGCAGTCGGAAGGAGGGGTCAGAGGTGGGGAAGGATGGATGAGAAGTGGGCCTGGGGACTCGCCTCTTTCTGCCTCCCCCGTCTGCCTCTTCCTCCTTAGAGCACCTGCGGCAGGCCAGACCCCCAGATGCTTAGTGACACCACCCCTCCATTCCCACCACACCCTCTGAGGAAGAGGGCAGTCTACTTCACAGGTGAAAAAACTAAGGGCCAGAGAGGTTAGGTAACTTGCCCAAACCACACAGCTAATCAAAATGAAAACAGAGCCCAGCCGGGCATGGCTCAGCAGTTGAGCATCGACCTAGGATCCAGGAGATCGCAGTTTGATTCCCAGTCAGGGCACATGCCAGGGTTGTGGGTTCGATCCCCCAGTCACGGGCGTGCAGGAGGCAGCTGATCAATGACAACTCTTTCATCATTGATGTTTCTCTCTCTCTCTCTCTCTCTCTCTCTCTCTCCCTTTCTCTCTCTAAAATCAATAAAGATATATTTAAAAAAAGAAAAGAAAATGAAAACACTGATTCATCCATTCAACAAATAAGTTTTGAGAGCCTGGGCGTGCCTGACACAGGCTCAGTGCTTTGGAAGCATCACCTCATGGAACCACCATAAATGTGAGAATCCTTCCCAAAGCCATCAGTCTCCTTTCTCTGCCTCCCGCTCACTGTAACGGTGAGGTTGGGACAGAAGTCTGGAGGTCTCTGCCCACTTGGCGTCCTCCCCTATTAGTCCAGCCAGAGAAGGGCCTGGGCAGCCAGCCAGGACCCCAAACTATGTCACAAAGGGCCCTTACCCTGTCCTCTCTCTCCTTGGGGCCTTCACATGGCTATTCCTTCCACCTGGACCACCGTTCCTTCCCCACCTGCCTAATCCTACGCAAGCCTGAGGCCTCAGCTAAATGAGGCTGTCTCTGAGAAGCTTTCTCCACTCCCGCTGATACCCAAGTTTAGTTGCTCATTTTTAAGTATAGCTCTTTAATGAGCATCTATTATGTGCCAGGCCCAATGAGGGTCCCACAATAAATAGACAACATGAGACCCACTCTCGTGGAGCTGCTACTCTGAGGGACCCCTGCTTCGTGCTTTGTGCCTCCTTCGACACCCACTCCACTTCATGTTTATTGCTTTTTCAGTCATCTGTCTCCCTGAAGGGAAGAAAATAATTTTAAATCACATATTTGGGCTTTCCAGAGAAACCGAACCATTAGGAGATATAGATAGATATAAAGATATAGATAGCAATATTGATAAAAGAAAGAGATTTATTATAAGGATTAGCTGCCACGAATATGAAGCCTGACAAGTTCCAAGACCTGCATGGTGAATCAGCAAGCTGGCCACCCAAGGGACAAGTGGTATAATTGCAGCTCGTCTGGAGACACGAAAAAAACACACCAATGTCCTAGTTTTGAAAGCAATCAGGCTGGAGAATTCTCTTACTCAAGGAAGTCAGCCTTTCTGTTCCATTCATACCTTCCACTGATTGGATGAGGCCCACCCACATTAGGGAGGGCAATCTGCTTCAGTCTACTGATTTAAACATTACACTCACCCAAAAGCACCTTCCCAGAAACACCCGGAATAATGTTTGGCCAAATATTGGGGCACCTTCTGGCCCAGTCAAGGTGACGCATACAATTAACTATTGTACAACCCAATTTAAAAATAGGCAAAGGACTTGAACAGACATTTCTCCAAAGAAGACACACAAATACCCAACGAGCACATGAGATGATGCTCATTAAGGAAATGAAACATCAAAGCTGCAAAGAGACACTGCTTCACACCCACTAGGATGGCTATAACCCAGAAAGACGAAAAGAAGAATTACTGCAGGGGTGTGGAGAGACTGGTACCCTCGTGTCCTGCTAGAAAGAATATAAAATGGTGCGGTCACTGTGGAGAGCAGTGTGGTGGTTCCTCAAAATGGTCGACATAGAATGCACCCATAACCTGGA